AGCTGGCGGATGGGGGCTGCTGCTCCCGAGGGCCAGCGCCACTGACAGGGGCTTGAGCAGCGGCTGGGCTGGCCAGGAGTGGGCCCGGGCAGTTCCCCTGTACCCTCTGTACCCCGTGATGCTCCACACACTGGAAGAGAAGCAAAACTTTACCTTGCTCTTAGTCTCAGAACAGAAAAGGTTCTGTCTCCTGAGGCCAGCTGTGCCTGGCCCGGCAGCAGAAGGGATCAACCATCGCATTGACTGTTTTTCCCCAAACCTTAAACTTTCCGTAGCATTTGGAGAAAAGGGACCCAGCCCCTGGCCACGGGGTGCAGAGATGAGGTTGGTGGCTCATTAGACCCGAGCCGGTGCTGGAACCGGGAGCATCGTGGCCACACCCATCCCCTCCTGCCTGCGGGGCGGGGGCCCTGGGGATGCCGACCCCCAGCCAGGGCTCATGCTTTCCCCAGCACTTCACAAGCCTGCTTGGTTTGTCCACTGCATCCTCCCATACTCGGAATTTATGTAAATATTTATTTTTGTGTGAATACCATGAAGTAACAAACCTTTGACAAAACCTGTAACCGCAGCCATTCGTGAAAGTCTTACCGTTCAGGCAGGAGAGGCAGAGACAATCGCTGTCCCGGGATTCTCCCTCTCCGCAGTCTCCCACCCGTGCCGGTGCCTCCCTCCCCGGCAGAGGCAGTGGAATTGTTAGCCATAAGTTTGCCATCAGTGTATACTGAAACAGAGGTAACCCGGGAGCTCATGGACAGACCACCAACAGCCACAGTGGGGTTAAGTTTTATTTATCCGAGGTTTAGCTGTCGTTCCCGGTCACCTCTGAACCTGTCTCGGCGCGTGTGGAAGTTCAGGAGCTCTTGCAGGTGGTCAAACTGCTGTGGAGGACACCGAGGCTGCGTGGGTGTAGGAGGGTGCCCAACACCGCCCTGTCCCAGCACCTGATGTTCATGACCTGCAGCTGAATGGTACAGACTCAGATTCCCCCAGCCCTGGTGACAGCCACATCTGGGACAAGTTATGAATGAAACAGACGGGATTGACTCCGAATTTTCTGTCAGGGATCTTTTTCTTTTTTTCCTTTCTTTTTTTTTTGGTGAGCCGCGGCGTTAACGGTTCCTTCGGCATGAGCTCCACAGACATCTCCGCGCTCTGCAGCTGCTCCGTGCTCCGCCACGGCTCCCCTGTGCTCCAGGACTGTTCACAGCCACATTCCTGCGCTCTCACTGGGCAGGACGGGGTCAGGAATTGCTAGTCCGGGTTCTCAACGAGAAGGAACGAGCAGGAGCAGAATACACCGGCTTTCCAGATATCTGAGAGGTGGAAGGAGAATGCTGGGTTAGCAAATGGTCTGGATGGTCTTGGGTTCGGTTAAGAAAAGCTGATCACTGGTCAAGAAAATAGATTTACTATTATTATTTTTTTTTTTAATTTTATTTTATTTTAACACACCCACCCTGTCCTGGATGTGCGGTTCCCATGACTCTGTTTCTCCATGGGAGAGCGTTCCCGGGGTTGCGAGCAGACATAACTTGTACCTCCCTGATCCCAAGGGCCGCTTCCCTCCCGGAGCGGCCGTCGGATTTAGTACCAGTTCATGGAAAAAAAAAAAAAAAATGCTGCTTTGAACTCAGAGGGTTAATATACTTTTGATTTGTAATTTTTTGTAAAACTTTTTACAAGGTAGCATAGTATTTCACCAGACACCAACTACAATCCGTCCATGGTCTGATTTTTATATAATTTAGTGGTGCTTTAGAAACTTTTGTTCGGTTGTTTCGGAGCTGCACAGCTCAGTTCTTCGCCTGTATCTACCTAAGACCAATGTGAACCTTTGTATTTTTGCTCCTAATTTTGGACTCAGTGAAAGTGTACTGTTTACATGTACAGAACTCCCGGCCCCCGTGTGTTCTGCCAGACCTGCTGTTGAAGAGGAAGCTGCCCCTCACCCCAGTTCGTCTGTTTAACCCAGCCACAGCCTCACCCACCCACTGACACGCGCCCGCCCCGAGGGACACCCCACCAAACCCAGACACCCTTTAAGCAATTTTGGGTTTTTGCACAAGCTGTTGTTTTTGTTTTGTTTTTGTTTTTTAAATTTCCCAGTAGTAGCATGGATTGGTCGTAATTCCAACCAGGAGCCGATCCGGAGCTCTGAAGCGCCAGATCCGGGCAGTGCTGCTGCCTCCCCATCCTCCTCCTCCTCCTCCTCCTCCTCCCGCCTGGACGCTGCCCAGCTCCTCGCAGGGTCCAGCTGGCGCAGGGGAACAGGGGGAAAACACTCCTCAGCAGAACTGGGAATACTTTAGGGAAGGGGTGAGCTTGCCCAAGCCTGGACACTGGTTTGGGCTGGAGGGTGGGAGCGCGGTCCCGCGGGAGGCGGGGGGCTCCCAACGAGGCAGAAGAGGCTCTTTGGGAAGCTGGTGCTTTCCCGAGGACTCAGAAAGCGTATGGCACTTAATCCAGCTTTTAAGGTGACACTTTATTGCTTAATCAATTGATTCCTTTGGAAATGATATTTTTGCAGATAGGCACCTATGCAACTTCATGTGGCTCTTAAGCAGATGAGCACTTCCTCCTCAACGAGCTTGATAAGAGTTATTTGTGTTATATACTGTGGATTTTTCCAGTAAATGTGGCTTAATATTTTAATTCTTAGAATGTGTGTCTATTATATATGTGATGCAACTTAATTCTGTTCTGTTTGTGGAATGATTAGCACAGGCCAACTCCCTGTCCCCTCACTTAACAAAGACCAATGAGCTGTTAATCGAGCTGTTATCTCCATGGTATTACTTGCTAAATGCACTGATTTCATAAGTATGTGGAATCCTCTTTTTTTTTTTTTTCTTTTGAATCTGTATATCATATATAAGACTGAATCTACTTAATAAACACTGTATAACAAAAAGGGCTTTCTCCTCCACTGTCGAGCCCCGCTGGGTGCTGCTGGCCCCAGCGCTGCCCCTCGCCCCAGCCCCTGTGCGAGGGAGGTCAGTGCCATCAGCCGCCTGGAGCGGGATCTAAATTCGGGTGTTAAAAGAGAAAAAAAAAACAAAATCAAAAAAAAACCAAACCCAACCCCATCTTTCAATCCTGTTGACATAAGCTGTGCTTTCCATTCCGTAACAGACAGCGCGGGTACCAGAGAGAGCAGCGGTAGCACTCACCATGGGGGGGGCAAGGCACCAGTTTTATGCTTAACTTATATTTTGACAAAATTAATTTTGTGAAGTGTCTGGTTTTTGTGAGAAAAAAAAAAAAAAAGAAAAAAAAAAAAAAGGAGTTTTCATTGAAGTTTGTGGAAAGTTCTCCCTCTCCCCTCATGGAAAATACTGATTTTTCGTTATCAGCTTTATTCACTAAGTATAATAAACCTTTGCATCCATAAACGTTCCTCTTCAAGCGCTGTGTAGATACGATCTCCTGGTTTGACTGTCAGGAGACCCAGAGAGGCAAAGTGGGGGGATTTGCATCTTCCTTGGAAGTGCAGCTGTCCACGGGTGTGGGGGTGCTGGCTGGCTGGGAGGGTGGGCAGCCCTTTCCCTGGATTTGCTGTGGCTGCAGCCGGGAACAAGGCCAGCAGGACCCACCTGAAGGTTTCTGCTTCTAAACCATCACCTGGGATGGTGGCAGCACGTCCCAAATGGAGAATCCCTGGAAATCCCTAATGTCTGGGGGCTCAGTGCTAATGCTCCTGTGCCTGTGACACTGTTGGGTTTATAACTGAGCCTCTGGCTGAGCTTTGCTCCCAAATTTCAAAAGCAGCACAGAGATGGCTGCAAAACCCAGGGATTAGCAGTGCTGGGTTCCGCCAGTTGCAAACCAGTTGGTGGTACCTGCTGGAGGCTTCCAGGCCCCGTAACTGGGCTGACTCGGGATGTCCCCTCCATGGGGCCAGGGTGCTCCAGAGCATGGCAGAGCTGGGCCCTAACAGCAGTCAGGCTGTGAGAGAGAAAATCTGTTCCTCAGCACAGAAATATCACAGAGAAAAAAAAAACAACAGTGTATTTGCTCTGTGTGAAATCCTGACGTTAATGGGTTTTGCCCTTGAAACCCCTCCCTATTCCAGAGGTAACTAATCCTGACACCATCACCTCCCACCCCAATAAAACAGGGAAGGATTGTTTATTAAGTTTTAATGCTTGGCCAAGTAGCAACTCTACTCATTTTCTGCATTCCTTATTTTCAGCTTATTTAGATTATCTGGGATCTTTAACCATGCTGTGTGCAAGACAACCTGCCAGAGTCAGAACATCCAGGGAACTACCAAAAACCAAAAAAAAAAAGCCTTTTTTCTCCCCAAAAGCTGGTGTGGGACCATCCACAGTCCCAGCCCTTGCTCTTGTGTGATGGAAGCACTGTGAAATGTGAGGAAGTCCGGGATTGTATCACCACACGGATCTCAGCACTCCCACAGCCCCAGGCAGGAGATCCCTGCTCACTACACGGAATGTCCACGCCCTGAGAACCCAGACACGTAATAATTTGGTATCCTGATATTTCCTTACTGCCTAGAAAAGAGAAAGGACACGGCTCTAAAGTAATTTTACAGGTGGTTTCAATAAACTGTAATTGGCAGCACCTGTTTATGCTCTTGAGAAACATTTTTAGATTCATTTATCCAACAATGAGGGCAGGAACAGCAGACCTGCCATGACCCTGGGACCAGTCTCGGTGCTGCTGCCCACGGGCATCACCCAAGGAGGGCAGGGATGCCCTGTGACTGTGGGGGTCCCTGTCCCTCAGCCCCACTGTGGCTTTCAGAGCCTTCAGGGTGTCTGTTCCCCAAGAGCCTCACAGCATCTCTGCAGTAGCTGCACCATCTTCATGTTCTGTAAGAGCATAAAACTGGATTTCATGAAGCCAAGTAGCAACACAGCCCCCAGCCAGTGACCCGAGCAGAGCTCTGGAACACTCCCAGTTAAAAGAGAGGAAAACCCACATTGCCTCAGCACAGAGGAGGACTTGAGAAAAAAGGACTGAAACCACACCAGCAGATTTTACAGTGTTTATTTTTCCAATAGCACAAGGGACAGACACGAGCAGGCCCCCTCCCCCCGAGGGCTCTGCCCCCAGACCAGTCTGAGCTGAACACTGCAGTGGCCCCCCAGGAGGCAGAGCCAGCCCCCCATCTTTGGTAAGCAGGTTCCAAACCTCCGCTCGCCCCCACCAACATCGCAGCCCTGCCCAGGCTGGGGTGCCACGCGGGCCGGGCTCTCGTTCCCATGGGATGAGGCTGTTGGATGCATTAAGGATAAACCGTCTTGGGGACTCAACTTGTTGCACCCCTCAGGCTTGTGTCTGAAAAGAGGAACTTGCACGCCTGAAAAAAAGTGCATGGTGAAGGGAGGTAGGATGGAGCTGGAAGAGGGACAGGAAGAAACCAAATGAAAATAAACCCCCTAAAAACTCTTGCTACTGCCCACTTGAATAAACCAGCGGCTTCTCCCCCTCACTGAAGCAATTCGCTCCTGATGAGGAATTGCTCCGAAGAGGAGGAGGGTTGCAGTTTTGCTCTCCCTCTGTGGATGCACAAGGACGTTCACCTTCCTGCAGCACAGGCACAGCCAATCCCTGGGAGCTCGGGTGCAGCAACAACCACCAAGAGCTTAGAGGAGGAACCGGTGAACTTGCTGGGGTCGGCAAATCCCACCTGGTCATCCTTGAGCCCGCACAGCACAGTCCACCCGGGCACGGGGAGGCTGTCGGAACCCAGACACCTCTGTGTGGTGAGCCTCATGTCAGGCAAGACAGAATACAGTGGCTCTGACAATAACTAACACCACTTTAATGCAATACTGCTGTAGAGCCTGAAAATCCAAGGGGGAAAAAAAAAAAAAAAAAGAAAGAAAAAAGACCCCTTTATGCTCTATGTACATTACATCCATTTACAGAGTTGGCCAGTACTGTGTACAACATATAAATACATGATCAAACAGATGCAGAGAGGATACTTACAGGAGCCAAATAATTCATTTTATACATCCAAGAATGAAAATATAAAAAAAAGTTAAAAAAGAAAAAAAAAAAAAAGAAAAAGAAAAGAGGAAAGAACACTGCTTAAAATGTTAGGTGATGGTCACACAGATGCCTGCAGCTCAGCTGCTGTGGGGTTCAGGTCCTCACCACAGGGCTGCAGTGCAGAGCGCACTGCCCACAGCCAAGAGCTCCAGGGAACCTCCAGCATTCCACAGCAGTTTGTGGAAGTTGGCCAAAGGAGGCAGGCACAGCTGCTGGGCCAGGAGTTCAGCCAGGCAGTTCCCCAGCCACACAGCTTCCTGCAGGCCAGCAGAAGGCATTTGCTTGGCACTTGCCCCAAATTTTTTTCCCCCCTCTTCTTCTTGCATCCTCCACATCAGCTCCATCTGGCACACGGTGGGCTGTACGCGGCTCCACAGCCACCTGCGGGGCACGTCCCTGGGCACCATGGTCTGCTGCAGCATCCAAAAACCACGCCGGACCATCACTGCAGGGCAGCTCTCTGCTTACACTCACTGCACAGCAGCACTTCCCACACAAACCAGGAATGGAGATGGCAGAAGGGGAGAGTGGAAGACTGTAGGGCCTCACCTCACACAGCCCTGAAATAGCAAACACCCTCTTCCAGTTCCTTTGGATGGAAGGATTTCCTCCACAGAGGGTCCATGGATTGCCACAGCGAACGGCCTCTCCCCCCGGCGTCAGCCTCAGCATGTGGTACCAGAGCACAGTTGGCAACTCCAGGACAGCAGGAAGCAGCAGGGTCACTCCCACGGGGCACAGCCCACCCAGACCAGGGTGTCACGGCGAGCAGGAACAGGCTCTGCATTGTCGATCTCCACGGGAAAGGCAGGTCAACGTTCTCCTCACCAAAACAAAGTGTAACAGCGTTTCTACTATGAACAGAGAGTACTTTGTGTACTTTTGTGTACAGGCGTTAGGATCAGTCATTATCAAAATACACACAACTGAATATACAACCTGTCCCATGGCCATAATTTATTATCTCACCACAAGGCACAATACACAGAGCTTAGAGGGTCCTATACAGTCGTCGTGGCAGAAGGCGCCGCAGCCTTTGCACATGATCATGGCCTTGAGGCTGCACGAGCACTGGAAGGAGATCTCCTCCACGCTGCTGCTGTCAGCAAACATCTGCACAGCCAGGGCCGTGCCCCGGCCCGCTGCAAAGTTCGCTTTGTGGGCGAGCTGCACCACGCTCCCAGTGAGGCCCCGGGGGAAAGCCGGAGTGTTGGATGAATAATTAAAGCTGGTGGAATTAAGCTGCAGCTTCGAAAGCTTCCCATAAAACGCTTGCTTGATATTGAGCTGAGAGGGGATGGACGAAGGCTCCAAAGGGTGACTCTGTCCTTTCCCTGGATCCCTTGAAAACTTGAAGAAAGGCCAGTCCATGACCAGTGGCTCGCTCTGTGTGTGCCCGGCCAGCTCCGTGGGGTGCTGGGCTGCGTCCCCCCTGTTCTCTGCGTTACTCTTGGCTGGGCTGCCACACACCAGCACATTCTCATTTCTGATCCCTCCCGGAGTGCTGCTGTGCTGCTTTGAAGTCCATTCCTCCCTGGCAGCTGGGATTCCTTCTCCCAGTGCACAGCCCTTGTCCAAGGGAATCTGTTTGTTGGGCGACAAGGTTCCCATGGCTGAACCGTGATCCAAAGCCCTGGAATGATGCAGCCTCACGCTGGGGTTGGAGGGAAAACCAGAACCAAAGAGCTTTTTGCCTTGACCTCCACTGTAATTTTTATTGACTGATGCACCTCCTGTCTGGTTTGGTCCAAGAGCAGTTACAGCTGGAGATAAAAACCGAGGCTCCGTACAGGCGTTCAGCTGCTCCGGGCTCTTACCTGCCACGACACTCGTTAACGGGTTGTGCTGTGGCACCCGGTGGACCTTGGACAACTCCTTCTGCTCCTCAAAGCTACAGGAAGAAAATTGCCTTTCCCGAGGGCCCACATCTTCAGGCTTCAGAGAGGCACTTGCCACATTTGCCAGTTGGTCTTGGCAGCTTGAAGTCGAGTCGACTTTGGAATGTTTTTCTGGAACAGCCTGATCCTCTGCTCTAGGCAATGCTGCCCCCGATCCACACGTCTTTTCCTGGGGATCTGTGGAAGATCTCACTGAGTGGATGTCATCGCTCCTGCTTCGGGCACTTGTCTTTATTCCTACCTCTGGCGAAGATTCTTCGCCGAAGTAGCGACTGCTGCCTCTGTCCAGCTGCAGGGAGAGGCTTTCCGACTGCTTCTCCAGCACCGGCTGCGCAATTTCCAGCTTGATGTCGACGTGAGACACTGGGAGAACCTCTTCCAGTGGAAGCTTCCCCTTCAGCAGCTGCATCACCAGGGGGTTGTTGGTCTCGATGGAGGACGCGGGCCGAGCAGAGCCGGGGGGTCCCCACCTCTGGGACGGGGGTGCAGGAGGGTCCCCAGCACAGGCCGGACTATTTGCCTCCACAGACGATTTTGACCTAATCCCATTGCACCTCTCACTGCTGCTGTGACAGGAAGAGCCTTTCCCAGCCGCCTCCCTGCAGCTGACACTTCTGAAGCGCACCTCCACCTCCACGTTCTCATCAGGCACGTCCCCTTCCCAGTCAGACGCAGTGTCTGTAGTTTCACTGTGGGTACTCTGGACTTCCTCATCTCCTCTTGCCTTCAGCTCCTGCGTCTCTCCCAGGGGCTGGTGTGCGTTTCCCGGTTCAGTTCTGGGGCACCTCTCCCTCGGCTGCAGGAGTTTTTCAGAGGTGTCTATCCTACTCTGAGAAATGAAGCCACCAAGCACAGAGGGCTGCGCCGGGGCCTCTGCATTTTGTTCTTCATAACACTGTTTGCCATCACTGCCTTTCCCTGCCTGCAGCTGGGCAGCGTCACACGCCACAGGGATCACTTTCTTCACTCCAGCAGTTGCCGTTTTGGAGGTATCAGCAACACATTTTTCCATAAACGCTTTGGAGTTGTTAAGCCTAAACCTAGACACCGTCTCTGGATCATGGCGTTCTGTACCACCCGATGACAACTCTGGCGGAAAAGGACAACTGGAGGAATTTTCCTTTCCATCAGAAGGATAATCCAGCTGTGTGGTGGGAGCACCAACACCTCCGAGTTCCACCACAGCCCTGTCTCCCGTAGGACTGACCCCTGCTCCCTGCCCCCCAGAACACAGACCGGCCACCACGGGAACTGCACAGCCCAGCTTTGTGCTCTCCTGAGATGCAGCACAAGGTGGGGGTTCGGTCCTTGGGTCACAGAGGAGCTGCTCAGGGCTCTCCTCCGGCCTCTCAGGAGTCACACTGTCCAAGGATGACCCAGTCACAGAGTCACAGAATGGCCTCCTGGGTGACCCATCGCCGGGCTGAGTGTCCCCTGAGCCAGCACCTGCAGCACAGCCTGGAAGGCCACTCCCTTCGCTCTTTGAGGAAGAGGGGTCTTGTCTGGAAGAGAGGCAGGGATTCATGCTGGCCCCCTCAGAGTCAGCCCTCCCTCCGCTCAGAGGAACAGGCGACTGTAGTTGTGCTCGCTGTAGATCTGCCGCGCGCTTTCCATGAGCTCTCTTGGATCTCCTGTGCTGGGAACGCCTGCCGGATTCTCCTCCACCTCCTCCTTCATCGGTGCTTCTCCCCCCGCCTGGGCCACCCCCTCCTCCGATGGCGGCGGCTTCGCGCTGGGCTCGGGCTTGCAGAGCACGGGCCTTAATGTCTGCGAGGGTCCGGGCCCCGGGGCGGCCCCGGCCGGAGGGCTCCGAGCTGGGGATGATCCGGGGGCAGATCTGGTAAGTGGGCTGACCTTTAACCACCCAGGGTGGTTTAATACGTGAAAGTTGAATCTGAAAGAAAAGGGAAGAGCGGTTGGTTCCGATACTGACCGCCTCCGGTGAAATGCGCTTTACCGGCATCTGCTTATCACAGTTCTCATCACAATTCCTCTCACAAGAATTCAACAAAAAAACTTCAAATTTCAGCTTAGGAACTACTTTATACAGAGAAGCAGCCTGTTTCTGCAACCTCTGCTCCGTGCTCTGTAAAGCTCAGTTCACACTAATACTGTTTTACCGGAGCCCGCAGGCAAATACAAAGCAAGTTATTTACACTCACGTCTTCAGACATACCAAACTGTTCTCCCCTACACCAGGATGACTACCCTGGAGCTACCAAAATGGGTATCTCTAGTCAAAACAGGAAAAGTCAGAAGGAATACTGAGATTCTGTCAAAAAAAAAAAAAAAATGGGAACTGAGGAACTACACAGGATAATGAACACGATTTGAAGGTCTTTCTGTATCCACAGAAATGCCAATGAAGGGAGCAAGTCAAGGTTACCCCGTGCTCTTGTGCAAAGACCTTGGGACGATTTTACATTCTTTGCCTGTCTAAATACGACAGCAGACTGTGGCAATCAGAGGCACTTCGCCAGCTCTACCAGTGAAACCTTTCGACTCCTTCCCGAAAGGTGGCAACACTTGACATTTTAGCAACGTTTTGATGCTACTGAGCATGGCAGACCTGAGACACCAAGCAGCTCTAAAGCTCTTTCTTACCCGGATGGGTGGGACTTTGGGCTCCTCTTTAGTAGGCTGTGGCTTTTCTGGGTGAACACTTTCAATTGTGTTACGAAAGGACTGACGATCTTCAAGCCGGGGCTTCTTTTCGGGGAAGGACGTGGAGGCAGACTCCTCAAAGCTTTTCCTCTTCTGCTCCTTGGACTCCTGAGCAGAGTTCTCCTGGGGCAAACTGGGAATTCTGTTCCCAGCTGCCAAAGACGGATCTTCCGACTTGCTGTGTGATTTGGAAGTCTCTGGAGAGAGGTTCAGCTCCAAACTCTCTGCCTTCAGTCCTGCAGCTGAGGGGCTGGTCAGATCCTCTTTCTTCAGGTCTGTCTCAGGCTTTGGCTCTTTATGGAGGGAGGAATCTGGCCCCACGGGAGCAGGTTCTTTGGGAGCCTCCGTGTGCTCGGGTTCCCGCAGTCTGTACAGGCTCCTCCTGGCCCGGCACCGCAGGTCGGCCCGGGAGCGTTTCCGGAAGCGTCCGTCCCTCTGCCGCGTGGTCGGCCCGCGAGGCAGCCTTGCTTCTCCTTTAACAGGCAGCTCTGTCCTGTTCTCAGCATCTTCCTGCACCGAATTCTGCTCCTGGGATTCCTCCTGGGTCAGGCCCAACCTACGGGGCAAGCACAAAAACCAGCTAAGACCTAAAGCCCAGGTTGATTTCAGTGTTACTGAATAGCAACCACCATGGGCAGAGACTCCTCAAACCCTTGTTAACTCACCCTGCAAGGGGAGAACCCACACATTCACCACATTGCTACCACAGGGGATGAGAAAAATAAGAAAATGTAAATATTTGTAATAATTAACCTGTCTTGGAAACAAAATAGATGGGTTACAAAATTCTACGACCCAGTCAATTCCACAAAGGATTTTCCCAGAGCGACAGCTGGATCGATTCACCTGACAACCTGTATTCTTCAAGGAGTTCATGCTGCATCTGCTCAGGTATTGTCAAACAGAAACAACATCCTGCCACCTGCATAAACATGGATAAAACAGGATAGACAAGGTAAAATTTCTCACTTTTGTCCATAATAGTCCTCAAAGAACTTCTCTTTCCATTGCTCTACTCTCTTTTCCTTTTCCATCTCCTGCCGGATTCGAACTTGCATCTCGTGGGTGAATTCACCTACATGGAAGCAAGAGACTGAAATTCAGTTCTAAACAAAACTGATTCTGCAAATGCAACCTCTAGCGTTTGGACAGTATAGCAGCTCCATATATGAAGGACAGACTGGCTGTTACCACCCTGCTCCCCACCCTACTCCGGATCCATGTGCTGCCTGCAGCTCCGTAAGGATGGTGGTCACATAGCCTCAAGTAAGTCTGGAAAAAATCATGTTTAACCAGACACAGGCCATCAAGTCTGGCACTACTTTATACCTTCACCACTTAGCTCTGAAAGTCCCATGGCACCAAAACGAAATCACACCTTTGATTTTAAAGGGGGGGAAAAAAAAAAAAAAAGTAAGACGAAAAGTAGGGGGTGACAGAGCTGCATACGTAGAAAAGCTGCTCTACATTTCTGTTCGTTAAGTGCAAAAGAGAAACACAAATCCCACAAAATGAGCACCTACTCCCCGGGAAAGCAGAGCCACTCACCGTCGGCGAGCCGCTCTCTCCAGCTCTGCGCGGCGTGGGTGAAGAACTCGTTGTTGAGAGCGCTGCCGCTGAGCCGCATCAGCCCGTCAGCCCCAACCTGCCAGGACACACAGGACACGTCTGCTCCAGCTGCTCCACACTCAGGAGGCAACCAGAGAAGGGAAAACACCCGAGTGCTCGTACCTGTCTATCGACTTCGGGCAGGAGGTAAAGCAGCTGCTGCTGGAAGTGCGACGGGAGCGCGTTAAAGGTCCTGGAGTTGATCAACGCCCGCAGGTTTGTGTTGACGAGGATGGAGCCAGGGGTCTCAAAGTCAATATCCTCACCCCTGTTCCGTTTCATTTGCCCTGCAGTTTAAGGACAGGCAAATAAAATTAACATTGTTTTATGTAAGTATTTCAGTATGATGGGGAAGAAATTAATTTAAACTGCTACAGCAAAAGGAGCAAGAGAGGCGAGAAAGACTGCAGCATGCAAGTGTGAAGAATGACTCCAGCACAGTAATTAATAGAATGGAATTTTAATATGAGGTCACAGTTCTGCCATATTCAGGTACAATTCTCGATGCTTCTCTTCAGACCAGGCAAACTTTTAAGCCATTGTCTCGCTAATGTTCAGGGTGGAAAGCCTGGCTTGAGACCTCAGATCATCAAATGCCTCCTGGGGGAAGAGATTCTGGTGCTCTTTTCTCAGATTCAACACCACCGATTATTCTTCTACCTGTAACCAGAAGCACATACCAGCCGTGGGCTTTCGGATGCCCCTCAGCAGCTGTGGAGGATCCCTGTTTATCTCTGTCCGACTGCGCAGGCTGGTTTTGCACAAGGCCAAGGAGCTGCTGCTGCTGCTGGATGTGCTGCTGCTCTCTCCGTCAGCGTGCCTTCCTGTGAACCCTAAAAAGCAAACCAACTTCATAAAAATACACAAAACCCAGCCAGAGTTCAACTGGGAGGGTGGTTGAACATGCAGGAATTATCTGTTACTAAGAGATCTGCTATAACAGGGTATTGCCCAGGTACCAGCTATTTTGATGGAGTTACACACGCACACAACTCTCTGCAGCCACACTCATTCTCAGCAGGCATTACAGAAATCCTCAGGCAAACACGGATGACTGGGAGATTGAGAGAGGTCTGTGAGGTCAGCAGGAACCCCCTCCCAAAGCCATGCTCACCCGAGGCAGACTCCATGTGTGCCCCGTTTACTTTCAGCGGGGTTAACACCACCCGTGGCAGCATCACACCCGTCTTTTTCTTCTGTTTGGTTGTCTGCAGGCCAGATAGAAACCAGAAACAAAGAGAAGGAATGAGGACATCAGGGAAGGGTAAAATGATCTAAACAGCATGTTCTTTGGTTAAAGAACTGCCTGGCTCCCAGGCAAATCTTCAGGTGTCATTATACTCAGGACTAGCAGAGAATTCAAGTTTGCCTTCCTGTACATGATCCCTCCCCATCCTGCCAGCTCCTCCAAGGAGACAGCCCCTCAACTCTGAGGCACCTGTGCACAACTAGTCCCTGTCACACCACCCCCAGCAGCAACAAGAGCTCCCCCTGAGAGGCTTCACCCTTCCCATTAGTCCCACTTTTTCCTACCTGGGAAGCAGTTCTGTAGCTCTCCCTGGTAGCAGGTCCCTTGCTCTGAGATTCTGTGGAACAGGAGGCATTAGAGGAGGTTTCATCAAGAGACACTGAAAGAGATGGGCTCTCAGTCAGACACAGGAGTAGGCCCTAGAGCTTAGGGTTAATGCCACCAGACACTTACCATCGTTGTCACCACTCACAGTGCTGGCTTCGTTGGACCCACAGCTTTCTGCATCCGCTGTGTCCTCCAGCTCCTCCCCTTCTGGCACTGACAGGTTCCGGGACCACTGCAAGGCATCCTTCTAGAGGGGAAACACAACTGAGGTGGGTACAGCCCTCCCTCCCTCCCTCCCAGACCGACACCAGTGGGAGCGTTTAACCTTAATTTTAATCCTCGATGCAGAAAGATATTTTAAAGTACATTTGGGCTCACAGCAGCACAGAAGTCACCTAAACTACAAGCACTTCACAGCCCCCTCCTAGACAAGTAACTCACACACCCAAAATATCAGGTTAATAGCAATTAATTTAATAAAAAGATGAATCATTTGTCAAATTTTTTTGTAAGCAAGGAGATGCTACTAAAAAGAAGCATCTCATTCTTGCTAAGAAAGAATGGGTTGCATCAGAGGAGCCAAATACTAAGACAGTAAGCTTAGGAGCTTTTTTTTTCTACTTGTACAAGCAAAGCAATTTCAATGCCATCTATTTTCAGCAAAATAGGGTGATTCAACAAGATTTTCTAACAACAGAAAATATATGGAAATGAAACAGCTATCTGTTGTCTATCAAGCTGATACTTACCAGGGAATCCAACAGTACAAAACAACGCAAAAGGAAAGCCCAAGACCAGAAACATTTTCAATATTTAAGATAACTGGGACAATAAACTAAAAATTAAAAAACATGTTCCAGAGAGACCTCAAGATTTGAGGAAAACACTGATGCTAAACAACACTCAATGTGGTGGAACACAAAACAACCAACCAAAAAAATAAATCTGCATTTTCCTATCAAGATTTTACTTGTTGCTACAAACTCTTGGACCAATTTAATTCCTTGGCCGGCTGTTTTCCCTTGTGGCTGGCAGCAAGGGAGTGCACAGGACTGCTCCAATAAGCAGCCACCTGAGTGGAACACCAGGTACTGCAATAGGAGGATTTATCTTCCTTGTGCAATTCAAGAAAAAGTTGGGGTATATTAAAAGTTATTTATCATAGATGCTGAATACAGCTGAAAGGTACAAGCTCCAAGGAAATAATGAATTCCAGCCCCTCTCTCACATGACAGTCTCACCTGCAGCACACTGCCCCTTGATGCTCAGCGGCAGGTAACACTCAGCCCCGCACAAGGAGCAGAACTCACACCTGGGAGCAGAGCTCAGCATTTACCTTGAGTGTGAAAAGGCTGATGCGTCCAGGCAGTTTGTAGAAGAGCCCATCCCCTCCCCGGGAATTGGAGTGCAGCATGGCGTTGAGGCAGGCTAGGGGGGACGTGCCACTGGAACGCAGGAAGGAAGAGAGGGAATAGGTTAAGAGATGGGTTTATCAAGAAAACAGCCCCTGATTTCTTGATCTGGTTAAAAGGGCAACATTTAGCTGACAGAGGGGAACAGAGGTGATGTCATAAACTTTATGGGACGGAAGCTTCAGTCAGAATAGTGTCACTGCTTTCATTCTGACCTGTGCATCAGCCTCAGTGCATCACACCAAGCCATCGGCAGCAAACAGGAAACGTGACGCCAATTTTAAGTTACCCTCGTCTGGTTTTAGACATTTCTGACTTTTATTACCTGTTTCCTCCCCTCCTCTGCTTGAAACCTTCAGTCCTGGATTGACTTTTACAAAAACCCCAGATTTACTCAGCAGTAGAAAGACGTAAACAAACTGCACACACACACACACGCGTTACTGGAATGTCTCCCTGACAGGTCACAAACCAAACTGCAGGAGCAGAGCTCGAGATGATGGCTCTGATGCACTCACTGGTCCTGTGTAACACCCTGGTTAAAGCCCCATCCCACACTCACACCAATGGAGCTGCTGTGCCACGTAATATTGTGTTTTCCACTCAGTCCCACACGTACAGGCAGAAAGTTATCTGGAAGAGACATTACAGCAGCCCCGACTGCATTCTTAGTAAAAGCGAAACCGAAAACTGGATTTAGATAAAATATTTCTAAGAAAATCATCCTCAAATTGAAAAACTTAGAACACTCTGTTTCCAACCTGAATGTGTTTGGGTTTTGGACATTCCTTCACAGGTCTTGGCAACAGGCAGAGTTAGCCTGTATCACTTTTAGATAATATGAATAAAATTTCCAGCCTGGTGTCCTGTCAGACAGTGCTTTCCCCTCTGTGTTTACCAGCACACTCACCAGCCACAGAGCTGTATGAAAACATCAAAGTAAGTAGTTCCTCCCCGAAACAAGAGAAAAGCAAGTGGTTAAAACTCTGCTGAAGTAGCTAAACTCAGTATGGTGCTGGGCCCAGCGTCCTGTGTCCAGCACCAGCCTCATGGGAACATCAGTGTCCCATACGGAACACGGCCCTCCTGGCAGAGCAGCGCGACCCCTGAACTGGGGAGCTCCACCTCAGGACTGATTCAGAGGGAAAAACATCTCGAGGCACTGAGCTATTTCCTTCAGGAAATGGAGTTTCAGGAAGGGCTTCTATACAAGCAGCAGCAAAGCCGGCTGCACGTTGAACCAGGCAGGCTCACCGCCTTTATTCTGTGAACAATCGTGCTCCGAAGAAAACAATCTTTTTTTACAGCAGAAAATTAATGACCGGGGAAGGAAAAGCAGATATCCCAAGGGAAACCACCGACCTTTAAAGGAATTAGTTAGCTTTGTGGGATTTAACCTGACACATGCTCCAAAGTCTGGTCTTTACTTATACAGTGTGACAGGCCACTTGTAAAAACCGGGAAAGCAGAGGATAATTTCTCTGTGTGAAGAGCCCTGCTATTACCTTTGGCAGAGGACAGCCTGTGCACAGAGATCTGCAACTGCCTGCTTAGGTAGCAGGACTGATGTGAGAGTTGCACAGGACTGATTAAAGCAAAACTGTATGAAAGTCCTCATTAAAATCTGTCTGAATTCTACGCATGGCTGCGAAACCATTGTCCATAACCAAACAGGTGAAGATCTCCTCAACAAGGATCATAGAATCCAAAGATGGGTTGGGTTGGGAAGGGACCTTAAAGCTCATCTCATTCCAACCCCCCTGCCACGGGCAGGGACACCTCCCACTATCCCGGGTTGCTTCAAGCCCTGTCCAACCTGGCCTTGGACACTTCCAGGGATGGGCCATCCACAGCTTCTCTGGGCAACCTGTGCCAGGGCCTCCCCACCCTCACAATAAAGAACTCCTTCCTAATATCCAATCTAAATCTACCCTCCTTCACCTTAAGGCTATTCCCCTTTATCCTATCACTATGTGCCCTTGTGAAAAGTCCCTCTCCACCCTTCTGGTAAGCCCTTGGCAGGTGGGCATTCCAACAGCTCCAAATTTGATGGAGTTGCAGACATGGGCCCTGCACCTCTCCAAACAAGGGCAGGTCCCACACCCAACACTTCTGTACACGTCACTGATTTTCACTATTTAAACCACCCCAGCTGTTTCCTGATTTCACACAAATGAGGAGCAGAAACAAGCTAACATTTAGGTCCCAGGAGAAATCAATTTACCTTCTGTAGGTGGGTAAAGTACAGGTTGAGGAAATGCAGATATCAGGGTGGAAAATAGTCCACACACACAAGGGGAGGGGGAAGCAAGACTAGAAAAAGAAAAGATTCCCCAGGAGGCCCTCCTTGGGCAGCAGCTTTTTCTGTCTCTGATAGTCAAACTTCCTTTTTTTTTTTGGACTATCACAGTTACCCACTTTCTTTGAGCTGCAAGACACTCTGTGTTTCTACTACTGTCATGGAAACAGATGGAAGCTCACAGGAACTTAACCAAGGAAAGCAGTCTCCCACTTCTGCCCTTTCCAAGGCTCTGTATCAAGTTCTTTTCCATATGAAACCCACTCTGAGATGGGCATCAATGTCAAGAGGCACAACCGTGTGAGCTGCGCTCTCTCAGTGCTCGAGAATCTGAGCAGCAGCCAGTGTAGTGACACAAAACAAAGAAGACTGACTTGAGTCTCCCAGCACATAATGTCTGCTCTGGAAATGAAGCATCAGAGGAGACAAAACTTAAATCATTCTCAAACTCGAGTCACAATAGCAGAAACTGCTGGGAGCTACTCGTGAGAGAACCACGCGAGTGAGTGGTGTAAGTACAGCACAATGCAGGGGTCTGATCTGCAGGAGGCATTTATTTCACAATAGACGGGTGAAGGGACTCTCTGTGTTGTAAAAAAAAATCCACAGCTTCCAGTTATTGTCAAAGAAAAAGCCCCACAACCTGTACATAAATGTCTGTGCTGTCATCTGAAATTACTAGGCTGGAAAGAAAAAAAGGGAAGCAAAGTGGGCTGGGCATGAGGCAGAACTGCACAAAGCAACACAAGCCTTCAGACGCTGCCTCCCCCATGCTCCACGCTGGTTTAGGCAAGATCATCAATACTAACCTCATTTCCTTTAGTCCTTCAGCCTCTATGACCTGCAGAATCTGTTTGGGGGTCATGGGAGCATCAGAGTAATTTTCCAGCACCTGAAAAGACAGAAAGACCATGTGTCATTACAGAATTGGCTTCTACATTCCCAGAATTACTCTATCAGCTGTGGCCCAGACCCAGTAATGTGTCTCTTCGAACTCGATTCATCTGCAAAGACACACAGTAAAATTTCAGGCTACCCCAGGGTCCCAGTGAGCATCACAAAAGGCTTTACCTTCATCTGGTCCCTAATGAACTGAAATACAAACATGGAGGAGAAAAAGCAGCAGAATTCGGCCTTGACCCCAGGGGAAGCTTTACTATAGACATCCAGTAGACTTCAGTATACATTAGACCAAGCTGCTGCCACATAAACCTTCAGAACTGAACATCAGGTCATTGACCTTTAATGATGTAGAGTGTTCTCCTACCTCTCCACAAAGCATCCAGTATTTTCCTGCCACTAAAAGTATTACTGTACGGCCATACAGTCCAATAGTGTACCTTCCCTGGATCACTGCATTCATATTTGCTCCATCCCAAGAAGGGAACCAGGGGTAAGAGTCAGAATTTGTGTCAGAGGAGGACAGAATTCAGAAAAGAACAAAATAACAGTAAAGGATTTGGGAAAAAAATATGGCTGGAGACACAAAAAAGATTGAGTGCTTGCCTCTGATACAAAATGAGGAAAATCAGACATTAAAAGGCAATACAATAAATAACAAATCATCCTGCCATATATTATATGAAGAATAGAATTGCTGAAGAACTAAAGAGGTTATTACGTGATTTTCTTTTAAAGCCTGTGGAACTTAAGTGCTCCGAAATGTCTAAAAGCAAGAACTCAAGGATTCAAAGAAAGGACCGGACATTTCTGTGGATAAGAAGATTACCCACATAAACAGGAAACAATGAGCAAAAATAAGCTGCAGTAGATGTAAACCATGCTGCTTCTTCGGGAGCAGATTACCCTACAGCTGCCGACCACACGCCGGCTCCTGCCTTCCCCAGCAGCAGACAGTGCTGCTCTCGGAATGCAAAGGCACTGAGCTCCACACACCTGGGGCTGAGTGAGGAATGGCAGGGTGAGACAGGCACGGGACATGGCCTGGAGAAGCTGCAGGACACGGCCTGGAACAGGCACGAAAAGCAGCAATGGGAATTCGCTCGGGAACTTTTTTATCATAACTCTGGTCTAAATTCCCCCAATGTCACGGCCACACGAGGCACAGCCCCGGTGTTGTCTGTCCCCACGCTGCAGGAGTCAGCAACACGGTGCTGCCTCTCACTCTGACTCGTGTAGGAACCAACTGGAGAGACCCAAACGCCCCATTTCCATCAGCGACATCTCGAAGTGAGTCACCGTGGCAGCCACGGCAACAGGACACGTGCAAAAACACCCCAAAGCTGTGCAGGGCTCCATTTTCACCTCCGAACCATCCCCACCCTCCACCAGTAAAGGAGAACCCAACCCACGTCACTGCAGTTCTGCACCTCAACGATATGTTGTGATAAGGCCAAGTTGGACAGGGCTTGGGACAGCCTGGTCTAGTGGAAGTGGTCCTGTGCAGTGCAAGGGAGATGATCTTTAAGGTCCCTTCCAATCCAAACTGTTCAGTGATTCTATAAAAGGAATTTCTTAAATCATATCCACCCAGCAGGTATTTTGCAGATGCCTGAAGCTCAGAAGCATTTGAGAATGAGGTGAGAACCCGGATGGGGAGGGGAATTAGAGAACTAACCTGAGCTGAGACACAATGAAAACACAAAGAGTTTGAAGGGAAGATCAAAGCGAGTGATAAGCCATATTCGGAGGCAGCAAACTAAATTAATTCCATACAGCTCCAGCACACTTTTTCCTCCCTCCACAGGTCACAAGGTCTCCGTGCCTCCCTCCTGAGCTGTCACCCCGTCACTCAAAGGCAGCAGACAGCTGACACGGGGAAACGCATCGCTCCCGAGCCCAGCGAGATCCGCCAAACGCAACACGCCTGTTCCAAAAAAAAATCAGGGAATTATTCAAACCCCTCTCCAGTGACAGACACAGCAAGCGAAACACGCGGCCTAAAACTGAGCACGAAGGAGCATTTACATACGGATAAAAGAATCTGCACTCAGGGGAACAATTTCCAATCAAGAGCTGTATTAAGTGTACAGAGCCCTTAATGGAAGAACTGGGGGAAGAGAAGATCCTGCAAGCTTTAGACACCAAATCCCAGCTTCCAGAGCCGGCCCTCCATCCTTCTCCAACCTGACACTTCCACTGCCACATCAGCCTTCCACCCAGAGCTACAACTTCAGCATTAGCTATTCCTTACCCCCAAAACAGAATTTCCCCTCCTCCAGTGTTCACAGCCAAGGAATCCTGTGCCCCGAATTATGGAAGTTTACATCACTTCCTCAATTAATTTACTGGACATCCATCTCTGACAGCACCTGTGGGACAGTGCCACGGCTCTGGGCATCCAGATGAATCTTTAAAGGCTTATTTTAAGGAACGTGCAGAGCTTTGGCTCTGTAGGAGTAGCAACACTGAAAAGCACTTTTGCCTGTGATTCTCAGGAACGTTGAGAGGAATACAAAATACACCAGTGCACGTCAGAGAGGGAAATTAAAAGCATTTTGACAGGGAGCATGTGTAAGACTAGTGTGAAATAAAGATCTATTTTTAGTGGATTTACAATCAGTCCTGCAAACTGGAAGTGCAGCTACGCAACTGCAGGTCTCTGTAAGTGGATAATCTAGTATGAGATCGTTCTATTTCTGGTTCATCGATGGCTCTAAGATGCTGTTGAGGCTTAAACACCTCATGCACCCACTGTGCCTGAGGTTCTGTCCAGAAGACAGGTGAGAGGGACTGTGTGAAGAGTTCCTTTCCCCATCACATGAGGCTGAGGAGGTGTATTAGGTGACTGCTTTAAAGTCAGCATCTCATGTGCTGCTTTGGGCAGCAGATAAATACTGATTTTTTCTTTTTTTCACCTCTCAGGGCTCAGGATGTTTAAATGAGCTGACTTTGTGCAAGGCACAGCCTCTGCCCCCAGGGTCCCCTACCAGGAAAGCATCCCTGCCACCTGCAGGGACACATCTGGCTCACAGAACCTGATCCCAAGGAGAAATGCACGATGGAGAACCAACCAGATCACCAGGCTCCCGCAGTGAAGTTCCACAGAGGCTGCCCTAAGCCCTTCTTCGGTTTGTAAAGCAAAGCCACGTGGGTCTAAAATATTATAATTTACACACAAAAGATGATGCAAGTTGTTGGAAGACAGATTCTTGTCTGATTAGGTTTCTTCCTGGCAAGCAGTAAGAAAACACTCCAATAGCCAAAGAAATCTTACTCAGGAGCACAAAGACTTATCCTCAACATCCTCAGTACCAGACATGAGTCTCCCTGGACTCACCCACACTATTCCTCTGAATGTTTATATGCTCCAAGCCATAACCTGGGCTGGCAAAACCAAAACACACACACGGCAACAGAGGAAACCAAAGAAAACCACCACCCTCAAGCCCTGTAGATCTGTTTCTACAGAAGTCCATGGGCTACACAGAGGGAACACATACTAAACACCACTGACAGGGCTACAGGGAGGAAACCAGGGATCTGTTCACACAGATTGCAGGCAGCTGGATCATCCCTTACTCCATGCACTGGCACTCCTGCACCCGCACAGATCTGTGTCACCGTGTCACTGGGAGAGAATTGACTCTTAAATCAAACCTCTGACCAGCACCTGATGGTCGAACTGAAGTTATTTTTCTTGTTACACTTCCCAGCTCACAACTGAGGTCCAAGACAGATCTGATTCAAAACACTTCACGGAGGGAAGTCCAACAGCAGCAGCCTTCCCACAGGCACCACTGGAGCAGGGTTGGGCTTGGAACCTGGAAGACCTCAACAAGGAGATTCCCTAAGACAAAAGGACTAAGACATACCCTTGGCCATGTCTCCTAACCCCAAAGTGACCAGGGATGTTTAGTACAGCTGCTGCTCCGGGGCAGCCCGTCACACGGAGGGAACCCACACCCTAATTAAATCAGAAACTTTTGACAGCAGCCGTGCCCGGGCTCCGGGCCGGGCTCTCTCCAGGGGCTCAGGTTCGCCCCACAGAGCCTTAAACCATCCGAAAAGAGGAGAATGGACCGACCCGTCCCCGCAGCCCCGGCCGGCACACACTGACCCGCTGCGGGACGGCACCTCCCGAGCCCATACCGGGAGCCGGGACCGGAGAAGGCCGTGGGGACCCCCGGAGGCAGGGCGGGCAGCTCGCCCCGGAGCACCCCCGGCGGGCCGGGGGCCGCGCTCGCCCCGCGCTGGGGGCGCGTCCCCTTCCCACCGGGCTGGGGACGGGAAACAAGCGGGCAGGAGACGCCCGGCCCCCGGCTCGGCCCCACGGCCGCGATGGCGGCGCCCCAGGTCCCGTTACTCGGGGAGGGGCCGGGCGCGGCGGGGAGGCCCCTGGGCCCGGCCGAGCCCCCGCGCCCCTTCCCCGGAGCGCCCCCGCCCCCCGGGCCTCACCAGGCGGGCGGCCTCGGCCCACGTGCGCTCCTTCTTCCTCCTCTGCTTCATCTCCTTCATCCTCCTCCTCCTCCTCCTCCTCCTCCTCCCGCGCGGGCGGGCGCGGCGGGCGCGGACCGTTGGACGCGCGGGCGGGCTGGCGGGCGGGCGGCGGCCGGGCCGGGCCGGGCCGGGGCGGGGCGGGGCAGGGCGGGCGCGGCGGGCGCGGCGGGCGAGGCGCGAGGCGGGGGCGGCTCCGGGCGCTACGGGAGGCGGCGGCGGCGGCGGCGGCGAGTCGGGCCCGGCATAACAACGGGGTCAAAGGGCCGGCAGCGGGGCGGGGCGGCAGGGCCCGGCGACGGTGGCCGCGGCGGGACACGGCGGGAGCGGAGGGGCGGGCACCGGGGGGGCGGTGCCTGGATGGTTTGAAGGAAAACAAACCGCAAGGGCCGCCGGGAGTTGTAGTCCTCGCGGGCGGGCCCGCCGCGGGAGAGAGGCGGCCCGCGGACTACAAGTCCCGGCGGGTGCCGCGCACCATGGCGGGAGAGGCCTCTGCCGCCGCATGGCCGCGGTGGGGGAGCGGCACCGCCCGGGGCCGGGGGCGGCGGCGGGACCGTGGCCGAGACTCTGCGATAGCCCCCCGGGTGAGAGCTGCGGCTGTTTGCTTTCTGGCACCTGGGTTATCACAGAATCGGAATGGGTTAGGTTGGGAAGGACCTGAGGTCATCGAGTTCAAGCCGTGACTGAACGCCGCTACATCAACCAGACTGTGGCACCGAGTGCCATGTCCAGTCTGTCCTCACACACCGCCAGGGACGATGGCTCCACCATCTCCCTGGGCAGCCCGTTCCTATGCCTGACCACCCTTTCTGTGAAGAAGTTCTTCCTGATGTCCAACCTAAACCTCCCCATCACAGTTCAAGGCTGTCCTCTCCTCCAGTCTCTAGTCACCTGGGAGCAGAGCCCGACCCCCACCTGGATACAAACTCCTGTCAGGGAGTTGTAGAGTGATGAGGTCACCCCTGAACCTCCTTTTCTACAGGCTAACCATCCCCACCCAGCTCCCTCAGCTGGTCCTCATCAGACTTGTGCTCCAGACCCTTCTGGACACATTACAAAATTCACTGCAGTTCTACTCACATTTTACCACTTAGTTTACCCAGAGACTTTTTTTTTTTTTTAGGTCAAAACAGCACAAGGCTTTGTAAAACACGGAATTGCTGAGCCCTGCCCCAAATTAACGATGAAAACCACACGTTTTGATAGATGCAATAAATCTTATTGACTTTATTACACGTCATATTTTAGGATCACTTTACATTCCTAGACAAAAGAGATGATACAAATAAATATAAGCTGTAAAACTATGGACAGAACTATGGACAGGTTCTTTTTTTTCTACAGATCACCTAAGAGAAGGTGGAGGTGGGTGTATCTCCAAGGAGCTGAGAGTTCTCACGGACAGCTGTGCCCACAGGGGGACATTCTGCGGCACCTCTTCAAAAAGAAAGGGAGCTGGAGAAGGCAGTAAGTGCCTGGGCCCTGGAGAGTCAACCCTCCTCTGCACAGTGCAGCAGGCAGGACCAGCGTTCTCATTTCAGTTCCATCTCCGCAGCTAATTATGGCTTTTGCAGGTTCTCTTTTCCAATCCACAGCATGAACAGAACCCCCCAGGAATCTTACTGAACTGTTTAAAGCCTGGTGCACCTTAACCAGGCACAGACAGGAGAGAGGATAGGCCCAGGTCCGCAGGTGTCTCACTGGAACTCCAGCGCTGCGTGCTCAGCGAGGGCAGAGTTAAAACACCCAAAACTGGCTGAACACAGGCCTGCTCTGATCTGCATAAGGCACCGGCGCGGCCCCGGGTGCTCTGGCAGAGGTATGTGTGTTTGAGAAGATTCAAGCAGCATGCAAATTGTTTTTTTTAAAAAGGCGCTGGGCTTAAGGATTTCGGAAAGTGCTTTAACTCCGATGCGTCAGCGTCACACGGCGCTCGCTCCAGCACCAAGGGCCCGCTCCTGCCCCGTGCCACTTCTTAAAAAAAAGATCCCGTTATACAGATCAGAGCAAAGACAAGGATGTTAAACATTCCTATGAAGAAAGGGTGGCGGTGCACGCTGTCCCAGGGCCTCTTCCAGGGGTCTGGCTGGATTTCCTGCCTTTGGTTAACCAGCAGGAAGCCCAGATGGTTCAGATATCACCCAGAGAGGGGCAAACTCGGCAGGAATGTTTCTTAAAAACTTCAACCCAGAGCTCAGTATGTTTTTGTACAGCTTAAGACAACGTATCTTAACTTAGTATCAGTGCCACTGAGCATCTGGTGAGGGTAAATCCATCGGAATGAGAATCCAAAAGCTTCTGTAAAAGGCCGAGATTGCCCTCGAATACACTGCCCAAATCTCCACTGCAGCCCCAATTTACATACAATGACTAAATATGCAGATTTATTCTGTTTTCCACCCTACTGAGTTTCTTTCACCTTGCTAATGAATTTCTACAGAGTTAAAAGCAGAGCCTTTCTGACACATCACCAGCTCATCAACATGAAAACAGGTTTGCACTGCAGAGTTCCACGGTACCAGCCCTGCCACGAGGGCAGTTTCCAGCATATGAGTTTAATATAGAATTCCCTATGGAATAGTAGCAACTGAGGAAGAGTGTGCACATGTGCAGACACGGAGGTGTCTGTGTATGCATTATTCACATAAAACATGTGTACACAGGTACGTACAGAGACGTGGTTAATTATTGTGCTGCTATTTCGGGGTTTTAAAACCCCGCTTGTTTCATTTCCACTCTCTGAGCACTCACGCCATACAATCATCTTTAAAAATGTCCCAGTATAGAAGATTATGTGCTGGAGAGAAAGAGGGGAGAGAGGGCAGAGAAGGTGATATTACATTATGCAAAAAAAGCCAATTAAAAGGCTCTCTGGACATAAACAGTGCGTCATAAAAAGGAAGATTATGCCGGGTTTCCATGTTCAGGTTGAAAGAAATTGGTCATGTGCCTGCTCTCTCAATTATTAGCAAACTCCTTCCTCCACCAAAACTAATATATATATATATTTATATGTGCATATATGTGTATCCATATATTAACCTTGTGGCCCAGGAAAGCAGTCCATGGGTTGCAGCAGCCGAGTTGGTGTTTAGGGGCCCCCCTGGGCAGCTGGCTCACCTGGGCACCGTGCCTGCAGGATGCAGAGGTGAGCTGTGCTGAGCGCTCGGTTCCTCCCGCTCAGGGGGTCAGCAGAACGGAGTTCTCCAGCCTGGGTGAAGTCACTCCGTGGACACTTAACGAGCACAAGGCAGAGTCCACACATCAGAGCATTTCTACAGCCAGGCAAGTCCTCACACACTCACACACGTGTCGGTCGGGAGGAAGTCGTCAGTGAGGGGAACAGGTTAAAAAACGTTCACAGGATGACAGCCAAAAGCAACCAGAAAAAGTAACATCCCAAGTCTCAATATACAGTGAACTAAAACTTACAAATGAGCTGTGGGACACTAGACAGGGACACCTTACTCTGTCCTTAGTGTGGAGTTCCACCTCCCTCAAGCCTGCGGCATTACACGAGGCTGCTTTAGTCATAGGGCAGCTTTGCAAGGAGACCGTCAAAAGCAGTTCTTCCTCCCTTGTTTTCAAAGTAAAACCCCCGAAATTAACACTAGCTTCCATCATCCAGCCTCAGTTAGGTCTGCTTTCACTCCCAGTGGGCTCTGCATGGGCTGGGAGGTGCAGAGGGAAAGCTGCTCAGCCTGGAACAGGTGAGGCACAAGAGGCACTGAATGCTGAACCTCGTTAGACACCAAGGGAAGGGGCCATGCTCCCAGGAGTGCACTCAAAGGCAGCTACATGTTCCAGTGCTCTGCCCAGCTTCCAGGAGAGCCTGAGCCTGGCAGGAAGAGCTCTGATCCAATGCTACATTTCCCATGAAGAGTGAGGGACATGAGAAAATGGCCATATGCCATTAAAGATGTCATATGGACACTGGTTTTAAATGCCAGGGGGTAAAGTGGGAGGCAAGAGAGAGGAGGAAAGCTGTGGGGCTGGCACTGGCATGCAGAGGTGTTCTTTGACAAGGTGGTTCCTGTTGGTAGGGGTGAGGTCTGTAGGAGGTCAGCTCAGAGGAGCTCTTATTTACGCCTGTAAACAAGGAAAGGACTTCAGATTCTACTGCTGCCTTTCTAGACAGCACAGAGTTGTTTTCAAGACCCTTTCTTGTCCTACGGCTCTAAAGGGAGGCACAGCTGTGTGTTTTTGAGGACACACTGGCCAGCCTGCCTGTTCAGACCAACACCTTAACCCCAGATCTCTCAAGCAGGAAGAGGAAGAACTATGCACCTTGTCGAGTTCGAACAGATCCCTCTGCTTTTTAGCCTCATTTGGTTCTCACTGTGGAGCTCTGGAGTGATGGTTCTGTTGAGATGACTTTCAACTCTGTCTTCTTATTGCCCAACAGCCAGAAAGCCCAATGCAGAAGGGCTGGTGCAGGAGGAGGAGGACGGTGATGCTGTGAGGTGATCCCCATGCTTCCCATTGCTCCTAACACACTTTAACGTACCTCATGCATTTTTGATTTCCTAACTAAAATCCATTTCCCACAGAGGCCAAATGCTGAATTGCAAGCACGGATCTTCCTGTGGCTCAGTGCCCCTGGAACTGGCCCGAGTCAGTTAAACAGCAACAAGGCCATTCTCCAGGAAAAGGGGCTGGAGGCTGGCCGGGAGCTCTCTCTGCAGGTTTTTATTTGTCTCTGCTCCCAGAAGGCAAAGGCTGTTCTCTCCCTGGAGAGGAGCTGCTGGTTTTACTTTGGAACCAGCCCTCGTGACTGTGGGTAGAGCTGAGAACTGTGGGAGCCTGCTGACGAGGATCCCGACGATTTCCTTCCAGTTTTCGGCCTAAGGAAGTAAAAATGAAAATATAAACATAAACAAAAAAATTTGTACCAGAGGAGGTTCACTTTGGATATTAAGAAAAATTTCTTTGCTGAAAGAGTGGTTAAGGAACAGTTTGCTCAGGGC